AACTAACACACATTAAAAATATTGGAAATGTGAGGTTCATAATGAATCGAATTCGAAAATCCGTAAATGGCAATGAGTTCAACCATACAAGTACTAAATTTGGTATTGGACAAATCTAATGAGATTGGATTCAAATGAAATTAAAAATATTAAGACAAAGATAGTAGAAAGTAATAGAATTAATAATAGGGATATTTATGTACTTTAAATTAAACCCTTCTACTATAAATATATCTGACAGGGCTCCTTAGAGAGCATCATTTTCCATTATTCTCACATGGTATTAAGAACACATCAAAAAAAAAAATCCAATCTTCTCTCTCTACATTATCGGTGCCGCGAGCTAGACCTAGAGCCGCCGCCTCCTCCTCACTCCCTTCGGCCCTTCACGCCACCGCAGCATGACGACTCCGACTTCAACGTCTTCCGCAGCCCTCAGCACGTCCAAGACTCCCGTCGTCCCTGCTTTGTCTGCCGCGGCCAGCACCACCGCAACAACCGGCGCTCCTCTCTCTTTTGGAACGCTGCCGGCAATCACTTCTGTCTCTTCCGGTGTGACGTTCTCCTCCAATTTCACATCACCGAGCCGGACCTCTACGTCATATTCTCTGTTTCAGAATTTACCCCCGGTGTTTTCATGGTCGGCGCCAACTCCTATGCAGGCCGTACCCCTTGAGCCCCCCCCCCCCCCCCCCTCAGCCACGTCTTTTGCCGGCACCACGTTTGTCGGCTCACTGGGTGTTTCCTCCACTCTGCCTCCTCTTCGCACACCAGCAGGCAATCCGACCAGTTCTCCTTTGACAGAACTCGCTCAAACCATCTCTCATGTGGCGACCAATGTCACAAATATCGACACTACCAAGCTTGTTGCGGTGGACGATTACACTACTTGGAGGACTCAATTTGAATCGTTTCTGGTTTGATAAGGTCTCCTTGGCATGGTTGGTGGCTCCATTCAGGTGCCACCTGCTTATTCCATAGATGTTCTTAACCGTCAAATTCCTAATCCCGAATTTTCTACTTGGTTGAGAATTGATCAAACAATCCGTTAATGGTTATTTGCAACCCTTTCTCGCGATGTACTTATTGATGTTCGTGATTTAAACATTCATGTGAAATTTGGGAGAGGTTGGAGTCTCGGTTTATGTCTGCTAGTTTAGTCTGATCTATGGAATTAAAGCATTTACTCAATCAAATTAAAAAGAAACATGATCAGTCCATGGACCATTATTTGAGAGAAATTAATATATTAGTTGATGTGCCTCCTCGGGAAGTTCTGAAGATTACTATTATGGGACTCGGACCTGAATATGAATCTTTATTCACCACTGTCTTACTATTTCTTCAAAACTTTCTGTTTGAAACTCTTCGCAATCATCTTCTCGAGTTAGAGTGGCGGGTTATCTATCTACGCTCCAAGGAATTCTCGTACTTCCATCAGACCTTCGGTGCGGCTGTTTCTCACACCGGACAGCCAACTGGTCAGCAGGAGGGCCAGCAGCAGCCGGGTTCTCAGCACCTGGTCGGGCAGCCGCAACAGGGTTATCCGCACCCGGTCGGCCAGTAGCGCCAACCAGGCCAGCAGCAGCGCGACAGAGGCCACGGTCGCGGTGGCAGGGGACGAGGTCGAGGACAGCAACCAGTCCAGTACGGCCAGCAGCAGGCGTACTGGTATCCTCAGGTGCAGTCCGTTTATAACCCCGGAGGGGGTGGTCATCCGGGTCCAACTGGATATGCTCCACATGCAGGGGATGTGACATCTACGGGTACTGTCATTTATAATTCTGCTATGTCACATTTAAATATTAATGCATTACCTGTTTGTGTTACTAACATTAGTTCCGCAGGCTTGCCATCAGATGGGGGTATTCTTGGGGTTGTTCCCCTCCCGTTGTCTGTCAAATTTGCTTTTTGCAGGTCATTCAGCTGTCACTTGTCCTTCTCGTTTCACACAGCCGTCCGCTCCTGCTTTGTTGACTACTCCTGGTGAGGCTAATTATGCTCTATGGTATCGTGATTCGGGAGTGTCTGCTCACATGACTACATCCGAAGGTATTTTATTTAATAAATCTCCTTAATTACAACGGCTATAATTCAGTTAATGTCCCTAATGGTGCCCATCTTCCCATTTGTCATGTTGGTGATGTTGCTTTACCTTCTTCTGGTCGTCCTCTCACTTTAAAATCGGTTTATCATGTGCCTCAGTTAAAATATAATTTAATTTCCATTCAAAGGCTCTGTGCTGATAATAATTGTATTGTAATTTTTTATATAAAAAAAATTGATTAAGAACAAAGCCTCGGGGGCAGTACTTATGCGAGCTACCTGTAGTAGGCCACTTTATCCTATCCGTCTGCCGTCATCATCATCATTAGTTTTAGCTTCAGTCTTAGCTTCTGTCCCTGTGTGGCACCGTAGACTAGGTCACCACAGTGACAATATTTTACAGTTTCTTAAGAGAGAACAATTTTTATGTAGCCATTCTCCTTTTACTCATGATTGTGTGGCTAGTCGATTAGGAAAATCACAATGTTTGCCCTTTATGGATGCTAGTCATAATTCTATTCTTCCTTTGGAAATTATTCATTCTGATGTGTGGGCTATCGTTGTTTTGATCCTACTACAGGTCGTATTTATGTTAGTCGTCATGTTAGGTTTCATGAGGATGTCATTCTACACCGGTCCCGATGCACCTCACCGATATCACACTTGACCCACCTGCCCAATCACCCCTCGGCCAAATGCCCCAGCTCACTGGACCGTCCCCTCTAACCTCTCGGTCACCTCCCAGTCCCAGTCCCAGTCCTCCTAATATGCCGTCACCGACCTCCACACCGTCACCCACATCCACTCCTTCATCCCCGAGTCAGCCACCTTTGTTTTCTCCTTCACCTGATAGTCCTCCGACCAGCCCGACTGATGTCCCACCGGTAACTTCCCAAGCCGACAACTTCTCTCCATCACCCACCTCGAGTATGCCCACTACGGTAATGAATCAGCATCCCATGCGAACCCGAGCAAAGGCGGGAATTTTTAAGCCTAAAACAATTTTTAATTTACGTACGGTTATTACTCCTGCAGATCCTACCTGTTTTACTGATGCTAATAAACATTTAAAATGGCGGGAAGCGATGGCTGATGAATTTAATGCACACATTAATAATAATACTTGGGAATTGGTGTCCTTTGACAACACTAAGAATATTGTTGGGTTTAAGTGGATTTATAAAACTAAATATCATTCTGATGGGTCAGTCGAACGCCATAAGGCTCGATTAGTTGCACATGGTTTTAATAAGCAGGCAGGTATTGATTTCTCTAAAACTTTTAGTCCTCTCGTAAAACCCACCACAGTTCGTATTATTCTTACTCTTGCTGGCTCCTTTGGGTGGGTCATATGACAACTTGATGTTAAAAATGCATTTTTACATGGTCATCTGACATAAGAGGTTTATATGCGTCAACCCCGTGGTTTTATTCATCCTCAATTTCCTAATCATATATGTCGTTTGCGAAAGGCCATTTACGGACTTAAGCAAGCTCCACGAGCATGGTTTCATAGATTTAGTAGCTTTCTTCTGTAGCATAATTTTTCGTGTAGTAAATCTGACAATTCCTTATTCATTTACCGTCAGAATAATACTATTATTTATTTATTATTATATGTAGATGATATTATTATTACTGGCAATTCTGAGTCCACTATTACCCAGTTTATTTCCATTATTTATAATCATTTTGCTATGAAGGACTTGGGTAATCTCCATTATTTCTTGGGTGTCGAGGCTATTCGTTCTGCTAAAGGCTTGTTTCTCTCTCAAAACAAATATGTTACTGATCTTCTAGCTTGTTTTCATCTCCATTCGTTCTGCTAAAGGCCTGTTCTCACCCCGTTAGCTTCCCGTACTACTCTGTCTCTCTCTGATGGTGAGTTACTCTCGGATTCTACTGAGTATCGCAGTATGGTAGGTGCGTTACAATATTTAACTTTGACATGGCTAGACATTACTTATGCATTACACTTAGTGTCTCAGTTCATGCATGCTCTTCGTACTACTCATCTATTTGCAGTCAAAAGAATTTTCAGGTACTTGCAGGGAACGCGAGATCATAGCCTATGGCTTCAGCAGTGTAATCGGCCAACGTGTGTTGTTGCTTATTCTGATGCTGATTGGGCTGGCGGTTCTGATAGCTCTCGGTCCACCATAGGCTTTGCGGTATTTTTGGGTCCAAACTTAATTTCTTGGAAGACCAAAAAACAGCCTACGGTGTTGAAGTCATCTACATAAGCAGAATATCGTGATATTTCTTACACTGTCCAAGACACACTCCATATTCGGTCTGTTCTGTTCGAGCTTGGCTATCCGATCACGGAACCGGTACATTTATTGTGTGATAATATTTCTGCTTTCTACTTGACTGCAAATCCTGTTCAGCATGCCCGGAGTAAACATATCCAGATTGATTATCACTTTGTTCACGAACGGGTTGCTCATGGAGATCTGATTGTTCAGCATGTTCCTACTCATCTACAGTTGGCAGATATTTTTACAAAAAGTCTCCCTAGTCAGCGTTTTCATTTTTTAAAAGAAAACATGCACGTTGTTTCTCCCCGCAGATTGAGGGGGTGTAATATAATAGAATTAATAATAGAGATATTTATGTACTTTACATTAAACCATTCTACTATAAATATATCTGTCAGGGCTCCTTAGAGAGAACCCTTTTCCTGTTTTCCATTATTCTCACAGAAATAGGATGTAAGAGTATTCAAAAGTATTATATATATATATAATAATATAAGCCATATTGGATATTAGTAGTATTCCTCGAGAGTTTAGATCCATAGAAAAATTTGGAACAACAAATGGTTGTAAACTTGTATTCCCTATATTTTTAACGTAAATTACGTAAAGTCGCATAACCATACAACTATAAGTGACAATCTTCAATATCTTGTCTTTGGATTCGCCATACGTTTCCCCATCCTACATTTCCATTATAAAAGGGAAGGCAAAGAAAACTCCCAACTCTTCTCACATCAAAACACATTCTCCAACAATAGCTAGGATGGAAACCAAGAAAGCCCATCTCGCTCTCCTCATCCTCCTCCTCTCCAACATGGCTCTTTCGCTGGTGGTGGATGCCTCCACTTACATGGACGCCATGCCATTCCCCGCCTCAAGCGGTGGCGGCCTCATTGAGGACAACGAGGAGATGCTGATGGAGTCGGAGTCTTCAAGGAGGGTTCTGTCGCAGAGCAGATACATTAGTTACGCCGCCATGAATAAGGACAGCATCCCTTGCAACCGCCGCGGCCCTTCCTACTACAACTGCCAAAAGCACGCTCCCGTCCGCCCCTACACCCGGGGATGCAGCAAGTTCACCCGATGCGGCGGACGATACAATTAATTATTGCATGTTATGTTTATCATCAAATAATCTCTACAAATATATACGCAAGATTGAAAGTAAATGATTTCAATACATTATTCCCAACATTGTTTTCTTTATATGTTATTTAATTTGTGTCGTATTTTTGTATTCCCTATTCGATCAATATGATTTGGATATAAAATCCTCTTTCTGTACGTTATCTTTGCCATGATAATATTGTGGCAGTATTACACTAATATTACAATGTCAAAATGAGAATTGAAATATAGTGTACCAGCAAGTGTAACAATTTAGGATTCTTGTTTAAATGTCAATACATGAAGTGGTCACATGGTAAAGTTAATATGCAACAAATGTGCAAACGTTGTGCCATTATGATATTTTTATAATTGTATTGATGTGCTAACAAAACGCAAGATACGTACCAGTGAATATAATAAAGTATATGCAAGTACATATTTGATACTTATTAACACTGCTAATTGGAGCATCCATGATAATATTGTCAAGCTCTTAGTTCATGATAATGGTTCTTATTTTGTCACATCATAGTTTAAATTGCGTCAATTTGTATACTCCGCAGGAAATTTTATTTCTAAATTTTTGTGTGTGAATGGATGTTGAATTCAATTTTAGAACGGGTGTCAAGCTTGCATGCTTAGATTAAGAACATATATACAAGTATACAATTGAAGCATTGGCACTGCCTCAGATTCTCAGAATGGCAACTTGAAAAATTACAAGTGCATGTTTCAAACATGAAACTTGACACCCATCATTGTGAATGCCTTTAAGGATGAAAACGAGCCAAATCAAATTTGGACTTGTGTAATGCCTTAAGTTCGGATAGAGCTATATAAAAATAAGTAAAAATTTCTTCTAATAGGACTAAAACATAAGCAAAACCTATATGTTATTCTTAAAATAAGATTTATTTAATCCCATTGATCAAAATATAGAGTGTTTCCGATAAAAAGTGGATAAATCATATTTTAAGAAGAAAATATTGATGGTAATGTTTGTATAATTTGTCTATATTTTAGTCATGTAAAGAGAATTTCTTCTAAAAATAATTGTACTTGATCGATTTCGTGTAAAATTGAGCTCAAATGATCGACCTAATTTTAGGGGTGGGCACGGTGATACTACTGAAATCTATCATAGACCATGTGATTTGAAATAGTATGGTATCAGTATGTGAGGTAACCTAAAGTCGTTTGGTACGTCCCATTTCAAAATGGGACGATGTCATACCATACCATGTTGAAATCATTGTAAAAAAGTGCAAGCATCTAATTAAGTTCTTTGAGAGATTAAATTTAATTAATACATATGGATTAAAATGATGACAAAATTGTATAAACAATTATTTAAAACCTCTAACTCAAATTGAAATATTAAATGCAAAAGTATTAAATTCTTATAACTAATTAAGTCTACTTTCTAAAATCAACATAAGAAACAATTACTACTTCCGTCCCAAATTGATTTGCGAATTTGACTTTTCTTGGTCAACCTGTTTCGTTTTGTTCACTTAATTAGGATGTCAAATTTTAATTATACTGTAATTTGAAAGTTACAACTTTGAAGAGATTTTAATGTAGTTTATGAAAATGTAAATTTCAATTATTAAAAATTGAATTAATTATCCATAGGGAGCATTGACTTTTATTATTGATTGACCAAAAAATGTTGATTTTTGTAAAATAAATTGGGACGGAGTATGTGTTTGTCTTTAGTAATTCTTAGTAATAAGTGTATTTTAATATAGAAAGAGGGATCAGAAGATAAAACGATAGACCAATCCTCCACACGTGCGCTCTCTGTCTGGCTCTCATAAGTTATTGGATGAAAGTCATGAAACTAATAATAAAAAGAAAGAAATTTAAAAAAAAAAAAATACAAACACACATATTAAGGGGTGTATTCGGAGTTAGTGGAAAATTTTAAAGTCCATTGATTTTAATAGCTTAACTCTATTCAATATGAACTTTTAAAAGTCTATCAATTCTAGGTATATTGAATGTAAACTTTTGAGAGTTTATAAAAGCTTAGAAGTGTTCAAACTAATAGTGTATTATAAGAAGTATTTACTACTATATATTAATATTTATTATTATAAATAGGTTAAAGGGTCAAATAGGTCATCGAACTAACTTAAAAAGTGCAATTCACCTCTTATATAAGAGGGTCTATCCGGCCATCGCCAATTGGGGTGGTTCCCGGTGGAATTTTTTAATGAAGTTTTTTAAGCATCTTCTTCATTAAGTCTAGTTTAACCATACCAAATTTCAAATAAAATTCAACCGGGAAGACAGTCAAATGATTTTCTGAAATGTACTGCGCTGTTTAACTCCACAATTATCTTCAAAAATTCATTTGACTGTCTTCCCCATTGAATTTTTATTTGAAATTTGGAATGAGTAAACAAAACTTGATGTAGGGATGAACTCAGGCCGGGCGGCCCGGCCCAGTTACTGTTTGAACCGGCCCGGCCCGGGAACCGGTCCGGGGGGCGGTTCGGGTCGGCCCGGCCCGGTTACTGTGCGGTTCGGGCCCGGGCCCTTTGATTGGCGAACCGGCCCGGCCGGTTCGGGCCAAATTATTTTTTTTTTTGAATTTTTTTTAGTTTTTGGGTTGGGCTTGGTATTTTGGGCCATTTGAGGTGGTTTGGGGTGGTTTGGGGGTGAGGGGCAGGGTTGGGGATTAATTAGGAAAAGCCAAAAAAAAAAGAACCGAGGCCCGGCCCGGCCCGAACCGGAACCGGGATTACCCGGGCCGGTTCCAGGCCTCCCATTTCTGAACCGAGGCCCGGCCGGTTCCAGGCCCGAACAGGGCCCGAACCGGAACCGGTCTACCCATAACTTGATGAAGAACATGCTCAAACAATTTCACCAAAAAATTCCACCGGGAACCGCCCCAATTGGTGACGGCCGGACAGAGCCTCCTGTATAAGGGGTGAATTGCACTTTTTAAGTTAGTGTGCGGGCCTATTTGACCATTTAGCCTTTTAAAAATGACATTAGGGCTCCCAGTTGGGTAAGTCATTCTTTATTCTCAACTATTATCTCACATGGTATCAGCTGCCTAGGTTCCACTCCTAAAACCTAGCATCTATGTCGACCAGCCCTTCCGTATTTATGGCGCCTGTCTCCATGGCCAGCTGCAGACCGCCGACTCTCTCGCACAGACCACCACCGTGGTCTCTCAACAGGCGCCTGCTAACAGCATGGAGCAGCCCTCATCCTCTGGCCTCGTGATAAGTCCACATTTCAACACGCATTTGATGTGTGTTGGGATCGATTTTTTATGGTTTTCCTAGCTTTAAGGTGTCATTAGTCTCAATTTTAACTCAAGTTATGTTTACCGGATGTTGGTTCGAGTTTGGTATTTTGGAGTCAAATAGGGAATTTGAGCCCGGCATCGGCGCTTGAGAAGAAATCGGGATGAGTCAAGATGAATTCGAGAGAGATTTGAGAGCTTTGGAGGTCACCAGGAGGTTCACGATAAAAATTTGATGATAAAAGAGCTCTAGAATTGGCTATGAGACCAAAAGAAAACGAATAGAACTTGAAAACGGCGATCGGGATGACGTTCTATCAATCATTCAAGCATATCTTTTTGTAGAAACATCCAATAGACACTATTCATGTTCCATATGCAAGCTAACGCCAAGGACTACAAATCATATGAAGACACCATTGCGAGAATATGAGAGGAGCAAGTTGAAAACAGACGATGAAGTCAGATGATTGCTGGTGAGATTTCAGAATGCGACATTCCACCATTGTATTCATATCTTTGGATTGGATGATTCAAATCCAGGTTTTCAAGTTGTGGTGGATAGAGGACTTCACTATCTACAACTTTCATGAAGAAAACATCATCAAATTCGGAATGGAAGAAGGCACGTTGTGCGCCCGAAGTCAGGCACGCCATGCTTGCTGAAGAAACACCTCTGGAGCTACTGCCAGTCAGGCACGGACGTGCCTGCCAGGAAGGCACACCATGCCTGAAACTGATACGCGACTCTTCCACAGGCACAAAGGCCAGGCACGCCGTGCCTAGCACAATGCCTACCCACGAATTTCCTAATTTGAGCTGAATTCACCCGTTTTCTATAAATAGGGTCTCTAAGCCCCTATTTTGTGGTGACGGAATTTAGAGAGAGAACTAGGGACGAATTTTACGTTGTTTTTCCGCTTTTTTGTTCAAGACCCTAGGATTATTTGTAAGTTCCTACTTTTTAATTAATGACAATTATTTTTATTCATCTCAATTCTGTTGATTCTTCAATTATGAGTTGTGAGGAGTTTAATTAGGGATTTGGGATTGATGAAGGGGTTAATCATGATGTCTGCCTAGTCTCTTGATGTTTAATTGCATGATTGTCGTTTAATTTATGTTAGAATAATTTAATTGATATCTTTTGTAACCTAGAACCGCGACTAGAATTACAATTGCTTGTAGAATAAATTAAGAGAGATTAGTAGCGATTAAGGGGTTGTAAGCTCGCTCGTCTTGGAAATAACTTAGGATCATGTCGCATGATAGATCACCCAGGTCCCCTAAATTATTGTACTCCGCGAGAGCGGTAAGAACTTAGTATTGATAAGCTAGGCTCAATTAAATCAATTTCATGTAATTAAGCCTGATCTGCCAGAAATCTGGTTACCCCAGAATCAATTCATGTTCCCTTCGTCGTTAATAAAGAGGGACCAAGCTTTTTTTTTTGTTTAATTAAGGGATTCGTTTGAGTGCGAGAAAACTCACATCACCTCACGGTGTCGCTCCAGCTCTCTCCGCTGGGTTCTTACCGACTGTTCAACATGTCGAATCCCTTCTCCTGGACACCGACCACCACAACACCAACTTTCACGTCGGCGGAAGCACCTATTACAGCTCCAGCCGGTCCAATCTCTACCCACTTCTCTGGGCCGACCTTGTCCGGACAGCCTAGCCAATCGCCATTTAAGGCTCCTTCATCCTCTCATCCGTCAGGTTCTGTTACAGTAACATCTACTACGTTGTCCACTTTTTTATCTGAGTTCACTTTTTCCACACCGAATATTATCAATTTTGTTACCACTCGGCTGGATACGGTAGAGGATTATTTTCCATGGCGTACTCAGTTTGAGTCCTTTTTTGTGTCACATGGTTTCTTGGAAATTGTGGATGGTTTCATTCCTACACCCCCACCATTTGTTTTTGATAATATTCTTTGTGATGTTCCCAACCTTGATTATCATTCATGGCTTAAAATAGATCAAACTGTTAGATCGTGGTTGTTTGCAACTCTTTCACGAACCATTTTTATTTAGGTCTACAGTCTCAGTTTTTCTGCTTAATTTGGGAAAGGTTGGAGACTCGTTTTATGGCTGACAGTATTGCTAGAACAATGGGGCTTAAAAGGCTTTTATCCAATTTAAAGAAAAAGGAGGATCGGTCCATGGATGCATACTTGAGGGAAATTACGTAGTATAATCTTGACAGATGTTTTAGCCTCCATTAATTCCTTGATTAGAGATTGTGACCTTCTTCAATCCACGATTCTTGGCTTCAAACATAAGTATGAATCTCTTACTACATCTGTCACTTGATTCCCGGATAGTTTCACTTTTGAGATACTTTGTTCGCAATTGATGGCATTAGAACAACGGGTTCTGTATCTTCGGTCTCAAGGTTCTCTTCCCGGTCAGATCACCACGCCTTTGTTGCTCAGGATTTATCTGCTGCCCGACCTAAGGGCCGAGGGGGTGCTCCAGCACACGACAATGGAGGCCGCAACTATCAAGGTGGTGGTACTGCTCGCGGACACCGTGGTCGTGGCCACGGCAGACAACCACATGGTAACATCCCCCAACCGTATAGTAATGCTAGTGGGGTTTTTGTTGGGTTCCGGGCAAAAAAACGCAGCTGAAAAGTGAAAAAAAATCTCTACCCAAAAGTAACCAGTCGGATCTGAGGTTCTTACTATAAACGAAATTACAAGACATAAAAGGTCTTACTTAGCAATTTTAAAGCAAGGATGTCAGATACATACAAGACTGTGTAAGTAGTCTCTTAACACCACCAAGTGTATTCTCAAAAGCTAATGAAACACTCGTGTATTTTGTTAGGGATCAAAACGCAAGAGCTCTCGAACTAGAACATAGAACATTGGGTAGAACCGTAGAACAAGACTAGCTTTTGTCCAATGTATGCTAAAGTGTACATGAATGCTCTCAAGATGATTCCAAGTAAACTGAATGAGTTTTATCGCTTTTATGCCATGAACTGAGTACAGGGCCGGTCCTAGGGGTGCAGCAGGGGCGACCGCCCTAGGTCCAAGAAAATAGGAAGAAACAATAGGCCCAATAATATTTCTTTATATGTATTGTGAGTAGACGTTTTTTTTATTTTTAATTTCAACTAATTAGGCCCAAAGTTTAATTTTTAAAATAAATGTAAAGAGGCACGTCTGTCTTAAATGTCTTCACGACTCTATGCTTTATAATCCTTTTAATTACAATATTACTAACTGGCAAGTTATGTTAAGCCTCCCAATTCAAAAACTCACAATTGGAAAAGTGCATCCAAATTGATTTCTTGTTTCCAAATTCCAAAATCAACAAGATTAAATAACGCTGCAAAGCAGTGAGTGCCTCAGCGATTTGTCAAGATGTCAATCAATCGAGGAGGCCAAACGGCAATCAGTGAACAAAAAAATTCTTCTTTCAAGGCTTCAAACAATCCAATAATGACCAATAAATCATTCTTGATAAAATGGGTGAATCAGGTAGGGATAAAGAGAGAAAGAGGAGAAGATTAGAAAAGGTATGTAGGCTTAAGTTAGAAGGAGTCAATGAAAAAAATTGCTTTTGTTAAGAAATTGAATCTTGAAAATTCCGCGAGAAACGTATTTAAGTAATGTTTTTCAAAGTTGAAGATTCTGATGAATTATCTGCGATCGACTATGTCTCAAGAAAGACTTAATAGGTTAGCAATTTTAAGTATTAAACATGAGATGTTGAAAAAAGCTTATTATGAAACAAATCGCAATTATTGATGATTTTGCTTCACAATGTTCTGAGAGAAAGATTATTAAGTAATGTTTTTCTTTTATGTGATACTTGTGTTGTTACTTTTTACCAAATATGTGTTTTAAATGATACCAATAAAATGAGATTCTTTTTTGTTTTATTACCTTTATTAGATAATTTTAATATAATTATTATTTTAAATAAGTACTCCCTCCGTATCACATATATCTTCACACTTCCAAAGTGGGTGAGATTAAGAATAGTGAATGAGGTATGAATTATTGAGGGTATGATGGGAAGATGGTGAAATAATGTGATGGAATGAAGGATAAATCCAAAAAAAAGTAGGTGTAGTAGTGTATTATTTTTTAAATTATTGAGGGTATGATTGGAAGATTTAGAAATGAGAAGATATAAATGTTACGTCCAAAAAAGGAAAGTGGGAAGATATGAATGTTACGGAGGGAGTATAGTTTATTGTTTGTCTTGAATATAAGCCCAAAATATTATCTCGCTCATAGGCCCGACCGCCCGAAAGTACACAGGACCAGCCCTGATTGAGTATAGAGCAGTTATTCATATGCAAGACTTAGCTCATAATGTACAAGAAATGTCATATACTCCGTATGTGTATTACTATCCTTAATAACATGAAATAAGAAAATATATTGGGAAAACAAGTTGAAACACTTTCAATAATACATAATAATTTGACCAATTAATCTAGGCACGAATTCATATCAGATTTAGGCGAAAAAAATTTCATGTGTAGAGTCACCCTACAATGATGACATTGATAAAATTACAAAACATAAGAGGGACTTACATAGCAATCTTAAGCCCGAGCTCTACCGGTATCCACACGCACAAGATTGGATCGTCCGTTGGGAACGTGCTAACATTCTCCCCCCCCCCCCCCCCTAGGTTTTAACTCTTAAATTCGTGGCTCTCCTTAGCTCTATTTATAAGAGGAGGAAAGAAGAAGTTTTGTAGCTAATAATACTCTCCTGGAGGCCCTAGCCCAATACCATTCAAAAATCTATTTCGAATGGGTCTAATCATGCTATTTTAATGTTATTAACAAACATTAATGATCCGTCACTTAGGTGTGTGACCCTGTAGGTTTATATATTGTTGAAAATGGGCTAGAAATTAATTCGAGTCTCACAAGTCACAAGCGGTCTCTAGCAAGGCATTATGACTATCCAAGATATATAAATGTCAATTAAATCTTACATAACCTTTAAATGATTAATATGTGCTAATAATTCTGTTTTGTCAAACGATATCTTATCTGAGACAAGGTTAGGTCGTGTCATCCTTGTTTTTCTCAATTAATATTTCTTGATTATCAAGTAAGATTAATCTTGAACAAATGACACTTCATTTGAGCATGTACATGCTGATTAATCTTACTTATCAAGGAGTCCAATTGATATATTTCTCTCGCTATTCGAGAGTGACAAAATTAAAACTATCTTGATAATTTACATATCACTACACGGTTCATTATATGTACAATCACCACCATTATAATTACCCATTTAAAAATACATGTAATGGTGTTAATACATATTAATTCTCATGTAAGTAACCATGATTAATCAAGTATAAGAATATAGCATCTCATCATTATTGAGGACAACACTGATGACATATAACCTATCAGTGTTCTCAAGTTGGATCTGTCCAATGAACCTGTTCACTAACAAGCATTATGTTATTAACTTGATATCTCTACACTCATGACTAGTGGAGTATAACCATCATTTAATCCACACACTGGTCTAATATCTATTAATGTCCCAAATTAATAATGTTAGACCAGGGAAAATTAAAATATTGTGCTTATTAGAAATTGTAGCATTCCACAATTAAGTCACGTTCTTAATTAGCTACTGAACATAATATTCAGGGACTAAATATTAATAAAGAAAACTCACGATAATAATTAACATAAAATGAGTTTGTGACTTTATTAGTTAATGCGCATTAAATATCCATTAATAAATCATAAACTTTGATTGTCGTAAGGCATATTTTCAACAGTCTCCCATTTGCACTAGGACCAATCGTGAACAAAACGAATGTCTAATGCACTAGTATGATGTTCATGATTTGTTTGTGGTAGTGGCTTGGTGAGCGGGTCAGCCACGTATATTTGCATATGCTGGTATTTTGCATATCTTGACATCACCTCTTTTGACTATCTCTGTAATGAGGTGATAGCGTCTGAGTACATGCTTTGATTTCTGGTGTGATCTAGGTTTTCTTGGCTTGTGTAATGGCTCCATTGTTATCACAAGTCCATTGATCCAACAATACTAGGAACGACACCGAGCTCAATGATGAATTTCCTTAACCATACTACTTCTTTTGTTGCTTCTGAAGCAGCAATGTACTCAATTTCTATCGTTGAATCAGCCACCGTGTCTTGTTTAGAACTTTTCTGGCTCACTGCTCTCTGCCATTGAGGCAAAATATAAATCCTGACTGCGATCTAAAATCATCCTTATCGGATTGCAACCCAACATCCGTGTAACCATTTACAATGAGCTGATTTCCACCACCATAGACCAAGAATACAACCAGAAAAGTAGCTTCAACTTTACATTTTCGTATCAGTACACAATTCAGCGTGCGAAATCAAAAGTTACGTGTTTTGTGAAAATTGACTAATAAACCTAATAATCTAAAATACCGGTTCAACAGACGGGAACGGAAATTCCTAATTTAGAATGAAATTAGATTTATATTGCCATTTTAAATCATAAATTGAACCAATCAATCCTCATAAACCAAAACTAGTGTTGATAATTAATTACTTGTCAATCCATCTTTGATTCTTCTAAAATTGGTCGGTCTAATTTAAAATAACGACTTTTTTCAAAAAACGCAAATTCTAAACAATGCAAAAGCGGGTCAAATTCGTTATTTACAACTCAATAACATCATTCGGTAACTGGTAATTATTAAGCGGTCCATTCGGTAACCGGTAATTATTAGCCGCTAACCGCTGAATATCAAACCAGCTCCTAAAATGGTGTCACTGTTATCATGGATTCTAATTGAAGCATCTATCTTAATGAAATTGGATTTGATCCGAATCGAAATCCAGATCAAATTGGTCCATGTCCACTCTAGGACTAGTAGTCTAGGTGTACCTATGTTAATGCTGACATAAATAGAAGACAAGGTTTAGTGCATCTCTAGTTAGCTAGACCTGTAGCTTGCCAGGTTGGAGTCTAAGCGTGGGTCGTGGGCGGAGAAAAAAATAAATATAGACAGAAATAGACAACTCTTTCCCCCGGCTTGGCCCTTCTTGTCTAAACCACCTTCCTCCCCCATTCATCACTATAAACCAATCTACTCTTCTCCTTCTTCTTCTTCTCCAATGGAGATCGCCTCCAGGACTGAGCAAGATTCCGTCATCACCAATGCCGGCGTCACCAGCAGCGGCGGCAGTTGCTCTTCCTCCTCCCTGCCACTCTATCAGAATCCTCCACCCCCGCCGTTGACCCCAAAAGGAATCTCGAGATCTGAAGCCGCGGGGAATCCTTACCCGACAACCTTTGTTCAGGCAGACTCTTCCTCCTTCAAGCAGGTTGTCCAGATGCTCACCGGATCATCGGGAACCGCGAAGAACCCTTCAGATCCGCCCCCGTCCGCCGCCGCCGGCGGCAACAGAGGGTTCTCTCTGCCTCCCAAGAAGCAGGGGTTCAAGGCTCTGTACGAGCGGCGGAACGTGCACAAGAACGGGTTCATGATCAGCCCGTTGATCCCCGGCGGCGCGTCGCCGCGGAAGCCGGAGATCCTGTCTCCGAGCATTCTCAATTTCCCGTCGCTTGCCCTGAGCCCCGTCACGCCGTTGAACGAGGACGCCCCGTTCGGCAATTCTTCGCCGTCGGTGGGGAATTCGTCGGAAGAGGACAGGGCTATTGCTGAGAAGAAGTTTTACTTGCATCCGTCTCCGAGGTCTGCTACTCCGAGGGACTCTCCGCCGCAGCTCTTGTCTCTGTTTCCGGACAATTCGGCGGCGCGTGTTTTGGGCTCTTCGTCTTCTTGAGGGGTTTTAATTGAATTGCCAAATTTGCCATTACATCTTACGATTGGAACAGGATAATGTAACAGAGTTCTTGTTTCAATTGTATTTATTACAATTTGACACCTTCTATAATTTTAAAAAAGATAATTCTCTTTATCTCTGTCTTTTTATTTGATCATTTTCTACATCCTTTTCCATATTTACCATTCATATAGTGTCATATTTGTCTTCTGTCCCTTCATGATTTTACTCCAAAAACAATGAAGTGGATAACAATATATACAGTGAAAGTCTGAAAGAGTTGGGCAATAATCTGGATAAAATTTTCTACAAGATCCAAAAATGAATGAGGATGAAGTGAGATGCGAATTAATTTGTAAAAATTTTACTACATCCTGAATTATTCTCCTCAGTTTGAATTGCTCAAATGTACTGCTCGTCAGTTCCTCTTGAAATAATTCTCACTTTATTTCTCTTGAAAGTTCTCACTTTATTTTCTTAAACGTCTCGGCTAAAGATTTCTATTTTCTATTTTAGGAGATAAATAAGATTTTTTAAATAACAATGTAATCATCATATATTAAAAATAATACACTTGAATAATCAATTACACTTGTTATGAATAATCAATTACAGAGTACATTATATATTTATCAAAACTATTTCTCAAAATACACTTGAATTAACATATTTAATTTAATCACTATCCAAATAATCGTGTCATTTTGTAATGAGACAGAGGTAGTATTACATACTATCATTTGTTCTTTAAAAGTTGTAACAGCGTGACTTTCACGTTTGTCAACACATAACTTTGACTGTAATTATATTTAATTACGTATAAGTAAATTTTAAAAAAGTTAATATATTGGAAATTTACACTAATAGAAATTTAATTATATTTAATACATAATACTTTGATTATATAAATTACTACGGTTTAATAAATTGCAATCAAAGTAAATTATATGAATAGTGCAAAAATCTCAATGTTGTAATATTTATAGAATAGGGGAAGTATTATTTTTTAAATACTCCTTAATATGTAGTAAAAAATGAAAGATTGTTAACCGCCCAAAATGAGTGAAGAAAATAATGAGAAATAGGGAGGAACGTTTTTGCAATCATTTCCTAATTTTCAACTTAAATCATGTCGCCATCTATGATGCACAGAAAAACTTTGAAAGTTGGCATTTTGATGTTTGCAACATCTAAAAATGACCTTTCGCCTTTTCACGTTTCTTCATCCACGCTTCTTGAGTTCTTTCATTTCAGTTTCTTCCCACGTAATGTGCCTTCTTTGTAAAACTAGTGAGTTTCGTTCCTGAATTCATTTTCAATTTATCAAGTTCTACCATTTAACTTTTCATTCAATACTTAATTTTAGGATGTTTTTACTAGGACTGTGATTTGCTGGTCTGATCTGATCTGGTCTGGTTTCTTTGTATTTTTGTAACTATCCAAGTCTGGTCTGATTTAGTCAGTGATAGATTACAGTCCAAGTAAAAACATCCTTAATTTTACCAATTGAATCATAAAAAATAAGTAAAATTAAAATTACTTTTATAAATGATTTGACTAGATTTATTTTGTAGTTACATTTTAGCTATCACATAAATTTTTATTTATTTTATTAATAAAGTATATTAAAATCATTGAATCAAACATTCCCACAACATCAATAAACCAAGTCACCCCTCTAGACTTTGTATAGCCAATAGACTCACCACTCTCTGATCAGACATGAATATAACACCCAAAATTGAGCGAGACTAATCACTAAACATACGAGAGTTTCGAAGCTATTATTGACCGAAATAGCCTGATTGCTTCCATTCAAATTACCAATTATAGAAGCTCTTTATTTGCGTCTGCGAGATCTTCGCTTCTGTGCTAGGCGAGTCACTGGGCTTCAGCTCGCCTCTTTGCCATTCTTTGTCACTCAACTCCACATTCATGTCATTATTAGAGTTCGCTCCGTCCTCCTTTTATATTCTTTTACGTTTTTGCTCCATTTTGTCTCATGCTTTTACCGATTCCCTACCCTCAAATAATTCACTCGGCACTCCATTGGTTGTATTAGTCGCTACCCCTACTTCACGTCCTTTTATTCTGTCCTTTACCAACCATAACTATAACCACTTATTTTCTTCCATCTGTGTTCTCCCTTTCGTGGCTCTAAGCCACGGGTGAAATGGTTTTTCTTCACTCTTCTCACATTCCACCGATTTAAGAGGACAATAATTCTCAGCATGCCCAATAACTTCACACAAGAAGCAAAAACTGGGTAATTATCTCATAGTGAAAAGTAAACAAAAAAAATATTCCTTCTTCTTTTTGCAGAAATAATTTCCTAATCCATGCTAACATTAATTCTCATGAAAGGATTCCATTTAGCATAGAACTATGCTCATCAACTTTAATATCTCTCTCCACAGGTATATCATGAACATGTATCCAGAAATCTGCTCTACTCAAGGGAACAGACATAGGTAAATGACTTTCCTCCAATTTACTCAAGACAATAAGATTTTGATCATAGATCCATGGTCCTTCCTCAAAAAATACAATCATACCACTCTCATAATAAAATTGAAACATACAACGTCTTGCCCCCAGATCAGTTATGGAACTTCTTTGACTGGTTTTCACACAGGCGTCATAGTATCACAAAAGGTAGAAAAAACGTACTGATTTTTTCTGATGTAATGGTTCCTACAAGCAAAAACATTTCACCTGTTGCTTCAGAATCCATGGCTTCCACTAGTAGTACTTTGTCCTCTTTTTCCATCTCCATCCTACCATAGGCTTGTGCCAACACCTCAATCTCTCGTTGCTCTTGAGTTCCCTCCATCGCTGCCCCCTTGCAAGAAAGCCTCAGCCTAACCTACGTTAGCAACTCTCAACCAAGATCCCTATGCTTTCCTTGATACTAGAATATATATATATACTCTGAGTCCAAGGGGGGAGGTAGGCCCCCCCCATCGCTGCCCCATTGTCTAGTTACATATATACTAGAATATTTTGAAAGTCCAAGGGGGGCGGTAGGCCCCCCCTAAATCCATCCCTGAGTCGATCGATCTCAGTTTGTCAGTTTTTTTTATTCACCCCTAGTTTGAATAAAGGATACGCTCCCAAAAAGCAGTTTTTAGCTTTTGGGGGGGGGATTAAGAAATAATTACATTAATATAACCAAAATAAAATGGTTTACAAAAATATGATTAGTTACTAGAGTAGTAATGAAAGCATAGTAATTCATGTTCAAGTTTCGAACTTAAGTTACTACAACACCATGTTGTAGTAATGAATAGTCATGTTTATGTAAATAAGTTTTATTTTAGTAATATTGTTGTAAAAAAACCCAAAAATTAATACTTCAAATACAAATTTTTACTTAATTTTAAACATTTTTAAAGCTAAAAGTTGGAAGTTGGTATACAGGGTGCTTCTAATTACTTCTCGATTGGACAGTAAATAATTCAATTTAAGGATAGTTTTAGGATATTTTTAGTTGCACTGAAATATTCTCGTGTGGTGCTGTTAAATGTCCCACACCGGAATCATTTGGATGAACAAAGTGCTATATTAACACACGGGCTACTCCTCCTATCAGGTTGACCTTTTAGGATGGAACCCCGGGTCTTAACATGGTATCAGAGCCAAATCGATCCATGGTGTGGGGCCCCTTAGGAAAAATGATGACATGATTATAAAAACGGTCGGATGAAAAAAAAAACGGACCGATGAAAAAAAAATTAATGATTGCACAATCCAGACGAAGTGTCTGGTCGTGAGGAGGGGTGTTAAATGTCTCACACCGGAATCGTTTGGATGAACAAAGTGCTATATTAACACACAGGCTACTCCTCCTATCAGGTTGACCTTTTAGGATGGAACCTCGGGTCTTAACAGGTGCGGTCTGGTATGGTCTAAACTGATTTTGCTAAATATCTGATTTCTGTATATGTTTAACTGTCAAAGTCCAATTTATTTAAGGCTGGTCTGATTTATTTAACTTTGTGGTCTTATTTGGTCTGGTTTGGTTTCAGAGTGAGATAAGCACAAGTAGAAACATCCTAAGTGAATTGCTAACGCGACCTTACCATTGATCGAATTAATCAACATCCTAAGTGAATTGCTAACGCGGCCTTAATTACCATTGATCGAATTAATCAACATCCTAAGGCCTTGTTTGGTTCAAAGATGGGGAGGGGAGGGAAGAGTCAAGGAGGGAAGGGAAGGGGAAGGAAGGATTTTGAAAAAAATTGTGTTTGGTTGGTGGAGATAGGAAGAAAGGTGTAATGAAAATATTTTTCACAATTTGCCTTTATTTGATAGCTTACTTAAAAAATTAGATACATGTCTAACTATTGTGAATAACTGAATATTACTCCTATGGTCATGAGTCATATTTGTTTTTTGATTTTTTGATTTTTACTTTTTTAATTTTATAATTTTTTATCTTTTATTTTTAATTAACGTTTTTTATTGTTTTTTATTATTTTTTTTTTTCTTTTTACTTTTTTTTATTTTTTAAATTTTTAATTTTTTAATTTTTTATCCTTTAAATTTTTTTTCGTTTGAGACTAAGGCTTAGATGTTGTTGTTGTTGTAATCTTTAAATTTTTTAATTTTTCATTTTTTTTTATTTTTTACCTTTTTATATTATAACGTTTTGTCATTCACGTAGGAGATGGATAGTTTGTGGTTATCAACACGTTTCCTCCGAAATACCCCAATTTAGGGGGTTTAGAATGGGAGAAAGTGGAGGATTTTGGAAGTCTTCCACTTTCCTCGCCTTCCCTCCTATTTCCTTCAACCAAACATACACAAATCTCTCACTTCCTTCCCCTCCCTTCCGAAACCCTCCAACTAAACAGGGCCTAAGTGAATTGCTAACGCGACCTTACCATTGATCGAATTAATCATTAATCATTCATACTAAAAATGGGGGGAATGCACCATCGAGTATCATTTTTATCGTAGCAGAAATCAGGATTAAGTTTCAGTTCTTCAGTTGCCGCCTATGCATGTTTACGTTAGATCTCATATTAATTTTTGGTGGAAACCAAATCGTGTTTATTACCCGATAATTTCATCATATTTTATTGGGACTTGGAAGGCTGGATGAGATAGAAATCATAGAATTCGTAAAAATGGAACTGAAATAATGATTATATATGGAATTTATTATTTATGGCATGGGAAATTG